ATATATATATATATATACATACATACATACATATACATATTCATGACAACTTATATATTTACTATTAATTCAATGTGACAAGAATCTTCAGATGTCAATCATTTGTTTTTAACACATATATTTATTTTATATTCTTTTAAATAGCAACAATGTTTATTGACCAAAAGGTAAAAACAAACTTTCCTTATTTTAATAATTTTAATAATTTCCTGTCAGATTACAGAAATACAACAGATTAATTAAATTTATTCACAGAAGTTTGTGTAAAAATGATAATTATGAAACAATAATAATTATTAAACAATGATTTTATTGATAACATTCTTATTCTCGTTACTTTGATTAAAGAGTCATCTCCTGTTACCAACTTTAAAAAATACGGTTTGACAAAAAAACAGCTGATGAACAAACTTTTTATATCTTCCTGGAAAGTTTGCGTCACTTTTCAAAAACACGTTGAAGATGTCACTGCCCGGCACGACCAATCACAGCTCTCCTCTCTCACGCCGCCGTCTCATTGGCCGAATCCCCGCCGTCATCGCTCCTCGTCTCCATCTTTTTCTTCTCGACACGTTTCCTCGATCGCCTCGTCAGGCAACATTTCACCGTCACTATGACGACAACCACCAGCAGCACCGCCGCCAGCACCACCGCGGCGACCAGCACCGGCATCAGGACGCCGCCCTGCGCCGTGGTCGTCGTCTCCGCGCACGCCGGCGAGTTCTTGTCGTTCTCGTCGTCATCGGAGCAGAAGCACCGGAAGGAGCCGACTGTGTTGAGGCAGCTGAACCTGCAGAGGGCGCTGCTGCACTCGTCCACGTCCACGCAGGTTCCAGAGGCGTCTTTCCGGAAGCCGCTGTCACACAGCCGGCAGACGGTGGTGAAGTCGGCGGGGGAGTCGTCCAGCAGCCGCCACACGGCGGGGCGGCCTGAGCAACGAAGCTCCACCAGGTCCTGGTCCAGGGACCAGCACTGCACCTGCATCCTGCTGCTGTTCACAAAGCTGATGGAGCGAGCGCTGGTGATGAGGGGGTGCCAACAGGAATCCGAACCAGGATCAGGTCCCTGCAGTTCAGGTCCGGTTTCAGTTTCTAGGGAAGGAAGTCCAGGTTCAGGATTAGCTGCTTCGGGTTTTTGTGTTGCAGGTCTAGGTTCTGGTTTAGCCGGTGTAGCATGCTTTGGTGGTTTAGCTGCAGCTGGTTTTGGAGGTTCAGGTGCAGCGGGTTTTGGTGGTTCTGGTGAAGTTGGTTTTGGAGGTTCAGGTGCAGCTGGTTTTGGTGGTTCAGGTGCAGCTGGTTTTGGTGGTCCAGTCTCTCTGTCTCTCAGCTTACATATGAACTGGTAGCTGCTCTTACAGCTGATGGGGATCAGACCCCACCTGGTCACCTGCGATCCGTCCCACTCCCCCTTCAGCGCCGCACAGCGGACCGTGGTGCAGGTGTGCCGCGGTTCCTCGGCCCAGCGGCTCACCTGCGAGTCCTCGCTGCCGTCCTTCGTCCACTTGAACCCTCTCAGGGGAAGCGTGGGGACCACACACTCGTTCTTGACCTTCCTCAGACCGACCCAGAAGGTGAAGTTCATCCAATGCGCCGGCATCGACTCTGAGACGATTCCGAGGACGTCCGCGACCTCCAGCTCCGTGGCGAGCGTGGTGAGGACGCCGGAGGAGCAGCTCTCGACCGCCAGGTCGAAGCTGACCAGTGATTGGTGGATGGTGTAGCGCGGTGGTGAGGAGGACCAGGTGTTCCTGAGCAGGATCACAAGGTGAATCCAGCAGAACCAGGACTCCATCTTCTCTGATGATGTCAGTCTGTCACAATAGAGACACACCCTGTTTGTCATCATCGCGTATCAACATATGAACATGTAATAAATGGTTTATAACACACTAATTTAACTGTAAGCAGACAGGAAGATTTTATATATAAAATATACCCTTACCCCTACCCTTACTACGACTTCATGTTCCTGTCCACAGAGGATTCTGACACCTCTGGTGGTGAGGTCTTGGTTTCGGTCTTCACTTCTGACTTCTCTT